TCTCTCTCTCTCTCTCTCTCTCTCTCTCTCTCTCTCTCTCTCTCTCTGCACCCATTTTGAATGGAATGTTATCAGCTGACTGAATGGGCGTCAGCGGTGGTTGTCACTGCTATCGTCATGATTCAGATGTGGTTTGGGTTAAAATAAGTATGTTTGTTATGTAGATGAAATAACTTGGCGTTAGTGAAGTACATACGTTACGTAACAAAACTACAGTGTAATACGTTGGTTTCACTAGGGACCCAAACAGCGGTCTCCTGGGTGAAAGTCCTGATAACATCCAGAGTGGGTGCTTTCAGGGAAGTTACAATAATAATAATGACATTTAAGGACAAACAAGAAGTCCTTGTTTGTCACGACTTCTTGGAATGAGGAAGCATTTGTTTCAGCCAAAAATCATTCACTAAGAAGCAAAACTTCAATATTTTAGAAGAGTCAGAAGTTTTCTTAAGAAACAAGCAAGTACACGTAATACTTCAGTGAGTGTGGCGGACTCACCTGCACCTCGTGGTCCTCCCAGTGGGAGAGGCTCAGGGACTTGACCTTGCTGATGTCGGGGATGTTGCGGTGGATCCCAGAGCAGTCCAGGCAGATGAAGACGCCCAGGGTGCAGGAGCCCCACCCGGGATCTGCAGACAGGAAGACGTGTGAGTATGTGGATGAGAGAAGAGATGCTGTCGTCGGTAGCTCCCATGAATTTCACCACATTTTTGTCTTTGTTTTTGTCATGTTTATCACTAACGACATGTGACAGAATACTTTCATCAACGTGTGAAAAGGAGGCGTGAGGATTAAGAGCAGCAGACTTTGAGACGATCACCAAACAACCAGACAGACCTGCCGGACCAAACGCCACCAAACTGCTCCAGAGAGGAGAGACCTGATGGATGCTAAGCTAACCCAGCTAGGACCTGAGGCTACTCCACTACCCAGCATGCTCCTGGCTGTCTGATGGTCACAGAACAATAAGATGGATGAAAACAGCGGGGGGGGGGGGGGGGGTGTCAGTGACTGTTGAGCCCACATCTTCACAGAGACCTGGATCCGATCAACCACCAAATCCCCTCAGGAATATGAACTCCTCTGAGATCACACAACCTTTAACACTAACAACAGATGATACATAATCAGAGGAGTCTTATTGTGACAGCGTTGAACAAAAAGCCAATATGTGTCATATATTGTAATATTACAAATAGACAAACAGAGAAAACCTTCGGACCATCACAGCACTACTTTTAAAGTGCTATAGTGCCTTGCTCAAGGGAAAGCTCTTGCTAGATGACAGGAAAACATTTAACTTTCTCTGATTATGATAATTTAACCCTTGAGCTGCTACATCCTCTTTGAGCCCTACTACTGTCTGAGAAAGGTTTTCCTGCATTGACACACCTGACTTATCTCCCTCACACTCATTCTACAGTCTGCCGGTAAACACAGCTTTGGCGTACAGACCTTG